TCTATATTAATCACACCTCTATATAATCACAGTTTTTTGTATCCCGAAGGTGTGACTATAGAGGGGTCTGACTGTATGTAGGTATGTACATATATATCTCTAATCATTGTCAATATCTAAAATATATATAATTGTTAATATCAATTTAGCTAATGCAAAGAAAGCTGTTTCTTTTTCTGTAGAGAAATTGACTCATTTTATAAATGATGAACCCAAAAATACAGATATAAATAAATATTAAAGTATGAATTACAATGAATGTTACTTGAATAATAGGATCAAAAATTTAATTCATCAAACTTGCAGTTCGTCATTAATAGCTTCACTCCCTAGTTGATCCCCAAAATGACTCAATATTTTCTAATGTTAATTGACTATTTCTCTCAAGCGATCAATACTATAATTGAATAGTAAAAAAATTAAAAAAAATGTTGTAGCTGAAAAAATTATATAATCTTCAAAAAGATGATTGGATTTATTTGATCATTTCTATATCAGAAATGAGTATTTCTGTTCTGTTATATTGTCATATCAAAATCTTAATTGTTTTATTTATTTTTTGTAAGATGTGATGGTAATTATTTGTATATTTTAACAGTATAATCTTTTTTTTATTCCAACCTTAGAAAAACAAATATCTGAAGAACAAAGCTCTAAATGGCTTCCTTTGGCTAAGAATTATTCAATTCTCAGATGATAATATTTTATATTTAATTTTAATAATTTATTTCATTATTTTAAATAATAATTACTTACATTTCCTTTTTTTCAATCAGTTATCTTCAAACCGAATTAGGTCATAGTTCTAATGTGAAAAAATTGGAAACAATAGCTACTTATATTCATGAAACATTGAGTATTTAATACTTAAATTGTATGAATTTTGAAAGATAGCTTAGTTTAAAAATAAATTTAATACACAGAATGAATTTGAAATCCATTCACCAACGTTGACATCAATAAAATGGTAAATTACTATTTGTAAAGAATTTTAGAACTTTTTAAATCATTTTCACTTAATTAATTTGCTATTGTTTATATCCAGATGGCCTGATGCACTTGTGCGAATGAGGTACATTATAGCATACATAAATTTAATATAAATTTATAAACTAAAATTATTTTAATAGCACCCATAGTATAGTGTTTGCGCGTCTAATTATTGATCAAAAAGATTATGGCATTCATTTATTTATTGTGCAATTGCGTGATGAAAGACATAAGCCCATGCTGGGTATTAAAATTGGAAATTTTGGAGCAAAATATGGATACAATTATAATGACAATGTATATATATAAAGAGTATGATTATATGTAACTGCAAAGTTTAATAATTTAACATCATAAAACAAAGGATTCTTAAAATTTACTCAAGTTTGTATTTCATGTGAGAACATGTTGATGCGTTTTTCTGAAGTTTCTCAAAGTGGTCACTACTCTACACCACCTTATGCAAAAATCATATATGATATATTGGCATCAAATAGGATAGGTCTTATAGATTTTTCTATGTTACTTTTATCAAAAGTTTTAACTATTGCAATTCAATATTCATTAGTAAGAAAATAGAGAGACAACTATAAAGATCCAAACAATGAAAATTTGATCTTAGATTATCAATACCAGCAATATAAACTGTTTTCTAGCTTAGCGCTTGTATATGCTTCATTTTTTAATAAAATATACATATGAAAGCTATACGAAAATAATATAAAAAATATTAGAAAAACAGATGGTAGTTTTATGGCAGAGGTTCATTCTATTACTGCAGTATGTTAATAATTTCTGTTTCATAATATTGATATAATTTGGGATAATATAAATATATTGTTTTTTATAGGGATTAAGAGCTTTATGCACAGAATTGGTCGTTGGAGCTATAGAGAATGCAAGACAAAGTTGTGGAGGTATCATATGTGCCAATTTTATCATACATTGTTTTTCCTCTAATAATACTATTAAACATCTTGAACTTGTCAAAATATAGGTCATGGATATTCACACTTAAGTGGGTAGGTAAAATATAATTGCCTTTTGGTTATGCTAATTATATAGCATTAATAATATAACACACTATAATTTTTATTATAATAGTATACCTTATATGCTAGAATACTATGCGCATTATACAAGTGGAGAAGGTAATGTCAAAGTCATATACTATAACATACTATATCAAATTCATCTCTATAAACACAGAGGAATATTTATATTTATTCAATACTTATATGTTTTATACTCAATTATGATATACAGGTGAAAATACAATTATGCACTTGCAAACAGAATGCTACCTTTTAAAATCTTTTCTGATTGCAAAAAAGGGAGCTCCAATAGGTGGTCGACTAAGTCACCTTTCTTTTTACTCTAATATACTTATGGAAAAATGTGCCGCTGAAACATTAGAAGATCTTTTAGATGCTGAGACTCAACTTGGTGCATTTCATCACATGTATCTACAACATTTATCTGATTTCGATTTGAGTATTGAAATATCTGCAATAACGCATCTGCATGGTTATGATGGTTCTAAAGCAGATCATATGATTGTTATTGTTCATTTATCTAAAGCATATTGCCATTATACAACTTTAATTAATTCACATGAAGGATTACAATCAGTAAAAAAAGAACAACCAGCAATATATCCAATTATTTGCGCATTAATAGATTTTTACTTTGTAAATACAGTCTTAAACCAATCAGGAGAATTTCTTATAGATGGAAATTACACACCACACCATATTTCGCTTTTAAAACAAGAACAAAAGAAACTATTAAACATTATTAGACCTGAAGCTATAGGTTTGGTTGATGCGTGGGAGTTTAGTGATAATGATTTAAATAGCGCATTAGGAAGAGGAGATGGGAATGTTTATAATGCTTTGTATGAATGGGTTAAAATTAGAGATGGGCAAATCGCGGTTTTTCCAAAAATCCCGCGCGTCACGCGCGGGATCCGCGCGTGATTCGCATCCCGCGCGGGATTTATAGGTGCCACGGTTGATCCTCGATTTTGATTGGCCAACGGATGTGATCGACAAAATTCTGGCCCGCATTATACATAAATTTTGGCCGGAATTTAATTTTTAATTTTTTTAATTGCAAAAATAGAAGAAATTTTTAAAGTTTGGGCCTGTGTAATAGTAAAATTAGCCCAGAAACATATTTTCTTAATGGACGGCCACGATTTCATTAGTAACAATTCGAGTAATTTGCCTAAATTTTAGATCGTCGCCATCGGCCAACCATAAATATGAAAGAATTATATAATAGCATAGCGGGCTTTAAATCTGATTGGATGATCGACCGAAATGTTACACAATATGTTCTTCATATTAGCGTAAC